GCAGGGACAAGTGGCTCGGGAAGAAGTACATGGGGGTGCGGAGGCGCAGATCGACACAATGACTCCCAGACTTCCTAGGACAGTGACCACGTAGAGGGCAAGGAACAAGACAAAAAACATCACCTGCAGATCTGCTTGGGTGGTGAAGCCCAGGAAAATAAATTCAGATGTAAACATCTCATTTTCTCCAGTCATACTGAACATTTTATATGAGCAGTTCAGCTGCTTTCTGTCTTTAGATTGAAGTGTTTAATGCACATAAATCCATTGATAATGATAAGAATGTTAATTTTTTGTCAAGCAGTTACAAAACCTTCAGTCAATAAAAGGTAAATTCTTCTTGAAAGAGAAAAAACACAAGTTCCTGGCACCACTATCCCTCTCCAGGGGAAGCAGGGGCATATTTAAGTCTAAGAAGGGAAATACCGTACCAAAATAAATAAATCATAGATTCCATTATTTTCCTGATAATTCCTGAGAAAATGAAATTACTTCTCATATTTTGACCATTCCCTATCTAGCCTGAGCACTTGAAGAATAAATACCAGCTCCCTGTGTGCCAGGAAGAGATTTTCTAGGTGAAAGCATTGGAAAATGGGACTTCCCTTAGTGTATTTTCTCCTGGTGCAGGAATAAGAGCTGGGATTTGTCTTACCTCACCTTGCTTTAGATGTGATGCTTGATTTGGAGACAAAAGATAAATTCATGTTCCATCTTGCTGTTCACCAGGGAGAGATCAGCAGCTCCTAAACGCCACTCTACAACAGACAGAATAAAAAAAAAGATGGATTTTTCTCCTGGATAACTCTGGCTTGACAGAGTTGCACCAGAGAGTAAACCAAGAGTAGGCACTGCTGGCTCCTGACAAATGGATCCAAACCTGGAAATCCTCATTATTGCTTGAGCCTTGGGTGAAGGGCTGAGTTCACCCCCAGAACCCGACGTCTCTTTCAGGTGTTCCATGGTCTTCTGGAGTTACTAAGGAGGATTTAGAGCTGCTTTTCATTATCCTTATGAAGATGACAGAGGTGTTAAAAATAAGGAAAACCAAACATTTTTGGGCCTGAATTTCCCCCTAGAAGCAGAATCCACCTGCTTCCATCACAGAATTTACCTCAATTTCTTGTTTAACTAAAGTCCAGCCTCACTTTTTCTTACTTAACCAACCAACTTTACTTTGTGTGATGGATTGGACACCTGGAATGGTAATAAATTCAGTTAAAATCCATGGGTTATATTTTCTTCCTGCTGAGAAGTAGGTGGTTGGTGTGGAATTATTAATGGAGTGTTCATCCCGTCCTCCTGTGGTGAGGATCTCCATTGTGGCATCCAAATTCCAGGAAATCTTTGGGCAAAGCAGTAGAAGAGCTTCCAATGAGCTGCCCTAGGATTCACCAAGATTACCCCATCCAACCTGGCCCTAAACACTTCCAGGCATGGGGCAGCCACAGCTTTTCTCGGAAATCCATTCCAGGGCCTCACCGCCCTCTCAGGGAAAGATTTATTCCAAATATTCCATCTAACTTCACCTGAAGGATTCAGACAGCCTGAGGTATCAGCTGAAAATTGTCCTAAGACACAAAATAAAGTGTAGTTTAAAGCAGTTTCCAAATGTGAGAACTTCAAACACCCAATATTTTCAACAGGCTCAGGAGCTGACACTTGGGAAATAAATTATCCAGGTGGGATCAGGAACACAGTGCTATTGTTTTATTTATTGCCTACTTCTCAGTTTCCTGAGCAAGAACAAGGCACTTTGCTACCCAAGGCTTACAGGAAAAAAGGGGATTTTATGTAAAATAAAAAGGAGATCATGTTCCCAGCAATGTCCAGTAGATGGTGGTGACATACAGGAAATACTGATGGATATTTTTTAACCTTTTTCCCTTTTTAGTTCTCAGTTTCATACCTTAAAAGGATTTTTGTGGTTCTTTAACATCGCTCAGGATTGACCATGGTGCACCAAAGGAGCAAAAATAAATTGTTCATGTAAAACCACGAATTAAATTAATTTGGAAGTAGATTAAATGCAACTTTTTACAAGGAAAGGATTTTTTCTGACAACAAAAACCACGTTGATTTGTCATCCTTGCAAGCACCAAGTTTTCATCCAGAATGTGGAGAAATGAGGGAGCTGCAATTTTGGTCAGGAGTTATTTCTTGCCTAAAATTTGGACTTTTTAAATAATTATCACCCTTCATCTTTTAATTTCAGGTTTTCAGTTTTTTTCTTGTTTTGCTTTGTTATTATTCCCTTCTCCCCACTGCCAAAGGGCAAATCTCTGGATACAAACTCCACTGATAATATTCCTGACTTGTTTTTGGCAAACCACCAGGGGCATAAAGAGGAAAACTAATTAGAGCTTTGTTTGAAGGCTTTGAAAGGCAGAAATTTGGGATGTAAAAAGGACAGGGCAAAGGTGACTGGTTCAACTGAACCTGGAAATTTACCCAGTTTTCAAATATGAAGCTATTTATTAATTAATTCATTGACTTGACTTATGGGTGATATCTCATTATCTCCAAACTGTGTTAAAATTGCAAATTAATCCATTTAGAATGTTGTCCTTCCATCTTTCCCAGAAAGGCTTTTCATGGGAGCTGCCTCCCTGATCCAGCCCAGAAATCACAGAAGTCAGGAATGTTGTCATTGTTAGACCCACGTAACCTTTATACAGGGATCCTGACACCTTTCACACAATCCTGGAATGGTTTGGGATGGGAGGAACCTGAAGGATCATCCAGTGCCACCCTGCTGCCATGGGCAGGGCCACCTTCCACTAGCCCAGGGTGCTCCGAGCCCCATATCCATAAATACATATGGGTAAAAATGGTTAACTTGCCATCCAAGGCCAGAGATCTCCTAGATGTCTGTCCTTTCTGATCCAAAATCATAAATATATATTCAAATCCAATATCAAATATACATTATCCCTTATATTTATACATAAAGTGCAAAACATTACTGGGTTAAATGTGTGCACTGACACCTACATGTTACTGGATTTTCTTCTCCCTCACAAACCTCCATGAATCCCACTTCATTTCCAGCTGAAACCAAGGTATGGATGAGAGCCCTGGCATGAGGGAAGGAAAAAAAAGAGCCAGACAGAATTCCCTGTCCCTGATAACACAACAAATCAGAATAAAAGGATTAAAGATAAAAATCCAATTCTTACCTCACCAGAGGAGCATCGGGATCAGAAGGTTCATTGAGGAACCCTCTCCATCAGCAAAACATCCTTTAATAGAAATATAATTTAATTTTTATAGTGAACATAACTTTACTTCAGGGTCAGGGAGGGGGGGTTTGCTCCAGGTATCCCCTGCAAACAGCTCAGGCTGTCCTGGATGGATCCCTGGAGCAGCCAGCTGGGATTACAGGGGGTGAGGGCTGATCCAAGCCTCCAGGTAAGGAATGAGCCCAAAATGCTTCCAGGCTGCTCCTGGCCTTGCACTCGGAGGTCTGTACAAGACCCACCTGCCAGAACATGACCCAGAGTCCAATAAACCTTCTTATTCTGCTCCAGGTATTCCCAGGAATATCTCAGCTGCCCACAAAGTAGAGTTTGGGTCCACAGGTGGGATTTATCAGTTATCAATGACACATCCCATGATATCTTAGGTGGAATTAGAGGGATCAAGAGACTGCAGGCAGGCTGGAAGAGGATGTGCCATGTGTCATGTACACAGAATCCTGGAATGGTTTCTGTTGGAAAAGGCCCTAAAGATCACCCAGTTCGTGCTGATGTTTTGGTTGGGTGTAGCTCTGCAAAAACAACATTTTAACATCAGTGTTGGAATTTGGTGAGTTTCCATACCAAAATTTCACCACTGGCTCCCATTAGTTCCTGCTTTATTCCCCATCCCTCAGGCACAACTACAAACACCCCCTCTTTTCTCAAAATAATAAATAAAACCAGGAAATCCAGTTATTTTCATAAGAAACTTTTGAAACTTAGAAAAGAATGACCAAGAAGGCAAAACAGTAAAAGTTAAATAATTATCAGGTAATTAAGTATAAACCTTTGAACTGTTTATCACTCAATCCTTCCTCTGCCTTTGTGCATTTTCCAAGAAATCTGGCAATTTTTGCTTTCCATGAGTATTTCTGCTCCATTTCTTTGTCATTGACCCAATCAGATCTATTTTATCATTTTCCAGGACTGTATTCCACCAAATCACCACTGGCTTCCTCAAAAACCTTATTTTCCCACCTTCCAGCTTGCTTAATAAATCAGAATCAGATTTATTCCAAGCCTCTTGATGTTCTCTGAGCCAAGACTCCAAACCACCCAGACAGCTGGTGACACTGAGGCAGGTCCAAGGTTGATCTAAATTCTATTTTTTTTTTTAATTGGGTATTTATTTAATTATTAATCCGGTCTATCAAATTGTTATATATCATTCACAGTGGATAAAGTTCACATAGATAAATACATGTTTTATACCTTTATGAGCTCCATCAGGCTGAAACATCCAAAAACCAACTCAATCCTGGTCAGGGCTGGATCTGTGATCAAGACAAGGTGCAGATTAAAGGAATTCAGAGATGTGCACATGTTGTTCAACTGGCAACCGGGACTTCTGCAGAGGGAGCAACCTCCTTGGGCTGAGCTTAAATAGAGTTTGTGGGTCAAGGTGTGGATGGAGCCCCCAGATGGGCTGATTAATGCAAATTAGTTCACTCTTGGGACAGTTAATCACTGTCTGAAGGTGCCCAGAGTTGCCTGCCCAGCTGTGGACACCTGGGCTGCAGATACCTCACCTTGGATAATCCCATCCTTGAAGGAAAACTGGCCTGCCTGGTGTCCACAGAGGGACATCAGCAGCTCCAGAGCTGGAGGTGCTTTGTGTGACACCTGGGGACCCTCTGACCACTGGTCACTGCTGGTGCCACGTGTCCATGTGACGTGGTGGCTCATCCATGTGATGGACTTGAGATCCCTGAAGCATAATCGATTTCAGAATTCCATTCTGTCCCTTCCCCCCCCCCCCCCCCCCCCCCCTCTTTTCTTTGTTTATGTGCTGTGCCATGAGGAGCCCTGAGGGTTTTGTCCCAGGAGAGCAAAGGGAACATATTTACAGCCCTGTCACCCACAGGCTCAGAGCTGGAGTCAGGGAAGAAGCACATCCCTCTCCACATCAGCCTGGATGTTCTCTGCTGTGTTTGGGATAAACCCTTGGCTCCCACCGCCACAGTGAGGGCACAGGAGGAGCTGTAAATCCAAGAGAAAGAAGTTGGGTTCCTTCTTCATGTCCTCTTATCCTCTTCTTTGGGGCTGTGCTGGAAAACAGCCTTCCAAAAGTAGGATTTTTTATAATAAATGGGAGTAATAGCTTCTGCAAATTGGTTTTTGTTTTCCTTAGGCAGCTAAAGCAAGATAAATGGATTTATGGAAGTGATAAGGACAATTCTTATTTAGTTATAAAGAATTGTCAGAAGAATGCAGTTGTCAACAAATCAGCCTCCGGAACTGGATTGTTTTAAAATTCATTCCCATTCAACGTAAGCTTTATCTTAATTCCCATGGTTTTTGGATGTTTCAGCCTGCAGGAGCTCAGAAAGGTATAAAATGTGAATTTATCCATGTGATTTTTATCCATTGTGAGTGATATATATTATAACAGTTTCATGGACTGGATTAATAATTAGAAGCAAAGGAAAAATATTCTTTATGTGGTGTAATCTGGGATTTCACTGGCACTGGGACTTTCTCCCATTCCAGGTTTACATTATCTCCAAAGAGATTCCTCTAAGGTGCCTCCTGAAACAAATTTCTTTCAAATCAGAAGGGAATATACATCTGATTCTTTTCTTCATTGTTAATTAACATGTGCCAGAATAAATCCATGATTTTATGTATCCAAGCACAAAATAGCATATTTTCCATCTGTGTTTCTTTAAGCTCTGTGTTCTTTTCTAGGCACCTCAACTGATAAATTAAAAAGTATAGAATTTATGTTTGGAAAATATATGGAATATACCAATGTATGGCAATCAAAACTGTGATTAATTGGAGTTAAATATGACCCAAAAAGTGAAACTCTGGATTTTACAATTTTTATGTATTTCTTCCCTTTGCCTCAGCAGGTAACACCTGGCCATGGGAGGAAATTACACACAGCCCAAATTCATCCTGCTGGGAATTACAGACACTCCCTGGGCGCAGGCCCCTCTTTTTGGGCTCTTTCTGTTGATTTACATTGTCACTTTGGTGGGGAACATCAGGCTCATGGTCCTGGTTTGGGTGGCTCCCAGCCTCCACACCCCCATGTACTTCTTCCTCACCCACTTTTCCCTGGCTGACGTCTGCTATTCCACCGTCATCTCCCCCAAAATGCTCACAGATCTGTTATTTGGGGATAAAACCATTTCCTGGGCTGGCTGCGTGACACAATTCCACCTCTTTGCTCTCTTTGTCACAGCCAAGTGTTACCTCCTGGCCGCCATGGCCTACGACCGGCACGTGGCCGTCTGCCACCCGCTGCACTATGCCATGGTGGTGTCCCCCCGGGCCTGCTGGCAGCTGGTGGCCTGGTCCTACCTCGTGGCCTCCCTCAGCGCCCTCCTCTACACCGGCTGCACGTTTGGGGGCTCCTTCTGTGGGCCCCGCCGCGTCGACCACTTCTTCTGCGACGCCAGCCCCGTGCTGAGGCTGGCGTGCTCTGACACGCACGGCAGCGAGGCCGCCATCTTCGCCCTGGCCACCGCCAACGGGCTGGGCACCAGCGTGGTCATCCTGCTCTCCTACGGCCGCATCCTCCACACCGTGCTGGGGATGTGCTTGGTGCCCAGCAGGGCCAGAGCCTTCTGCACCTGCGCCTCCCACCTGGCGTCCGTGTCCGTGTTCTACGGCTCCCTGTTCTTCATGTACCTGCAGCCGGCGTCACGGCACGGCAGCCGGGACAAGGTGGCCTCTGTCTTCTACACCGTGGTCAGCCCCATGCTCAACCCTTTCATCTACAGCCTGAGGAACAAGGAGGTGAAGGCAGCGCTGGGGAAGTGCAGGAGGAGGATGTTAAACCTCTGCCAGCATCAGAGAAGTGCAGCTTGTGGCATCAGGGAGTCCTGGAATGGTTTGAGTTGGAAGGGACCTTAGGGATCACCTGGTCCTACACTCCATGGGCAGGGACACCTTCCACTACACCAGACAGTTCCAAATCCCATCCAACCTGGCCTAGAACTCTTTCAGGCATGGGGCAGCCACAGCTTCTCTGGGAAACCTGTGCCAGAGACTTCCAACCCTCACAGGGAAGAATTTCTTCCCAGAATCCCATCGAAACCCACTCTCAGCTTAAAGCCATTCCCTGTTGTTTTGCCACTCCATGCCCTTGTGGAAGCAAACTGTTCCTCTAAAGCAAGAATAAAAAAGTTAAATTAAATTACATGGATTTTTCCTGGATCCTCAGAGTTTAATATAAGTTCTTCCGCAGTTCCTCACAAAACTCAATTACAATACTTATCCTGGAGAAATAGACCCCACAGTCCTTCCATATTCCTTGGAAGGAAACAGGAGTGGGAGCCTCAAACCTGAATTTCCTTTGTGGCCACAGGGCTATGGGAAGAAATCACCCAGAATTATTTCAGGGCATTATTCCAATTAAACCTTTCTTTCTCCCAGGAAAAAACAAATCACAGCTTTATTGGTTTATAACTTATTTGCACTGATCAATATGTATTTTTCTTGCAAGATTATTGTCCTTATCCCTAAATTCCAATAAAATTCCTCATTGTTACCTGTGAGTTATTTATTAGAACCAAGCTGCTGGGGTGGGAAGGAGCATTTGGGAAGAATAAGAGTATTTTAAAATGTGTTTGATAAATGAGTAAGATAAAAGGCTTTAAAAGTGCAAATTTTTTATGACTTTGAGGGATAAGAAGCTGATGCAAGTCAGGATCTCAAGATATACCTTGGAATGTCAAGGAGAATGCAAAACACATATTGAAAACCTAACAGATGCATTTCACTCAAACTTTAAGCACTTAAGTGTCTTGGTTTCCATAGATGAAAGAGTCCTCAACACCTGATCTATGGATAGTTGGGAGCTGTTTGGGTCTGGAAAAGGCCCTAAAAAGCCAAAAACAACAGTTCACCAAATTATAGCTCAATAAAGAAGGTACAGGGATGTCCACAATACTGGGGAGAGACCAGCAATCCTTTTCCTGGCAAGCACTTAGAATGGAAAAAAACTCCTACTTTCTGCTCATCCTAACAAATTCCAAAGGATAAATATCCTCTGTTGTTTTTGAGGGCAAACTGAGTGCAATCCTGCAAACTTCTTTCACAGTTCAGATAGTCTGGATAAACTCAGCAGACACTTCCCCTTCTCCCTCCTCTTCTCCTCACCCCTCATTTTGGTTGTCCCTCACCTGCTGACACCTTTTGGGGGTGGGATGAGTTTGGACTCTGCAGAGGGATAAACCCTGGCTGTGGCAGGGAAAGGTGGAAGCAGAAAACTTTTCCCTTTGGTGTTGTGTTGTAGATGTTTTATTCTGAGGAGTTACATGAGAACTCACTTCTGTTTGAAAAGTAAATGGACTGTAAGTAGTCTCCTTGTTCTCTGGGAAAAACAGCAGGAGAAGAGATGTTTTAAGTCTGGGGGGAAATGGGAGAGGTACATTTGGACCTGGATGAAGAAGCTGGAATTGATATAATTAAATGATAAAGGTATAAAGGTATATATTTGATAGATATCAAAGCTGGGTGGGGAGGGACTTTAAAGCTTATCCCATTCCCACTCCCTGCCATGAGCAGGGACACCTTCCACTAGACCGAGCCCTGTCCAACCTGGCCTTGGACACTTCCAGGTATGGGGCAGCCCCAGCTACTCTGGGCAGCCTGTGCCAGGGCCTCAGCACCCTCCCAGGGAAGGATTTCTTTGCTGTATCCAGTGTAAATCCACTCTCCTTCAGTTCAAGATTTTCAGGTTTAAATGAAGAATTAAGAAAGCCCACCAGCAGGTCTGAGCTCCAGGGTCCCACCATGCAGGTGCTCACAGCTATTTCCAGCACAAGGGATGCTGCTCCCATTCCCAGAGCAAGAAGTGATCCTGGGAGACCAACCATCTTTCAAGGGATCACCAGCTTAACAAGATCTTTTGGGCTTTGCCAAGAAAGTTTCCTAATCATCATCATGGAACTTCTCAGAGGGCTTTTCAACAACTTCTTTCATTAATCTTAATAAGCCATTATAGACTAATTAGCTAAGGATAACAAGGAAGAAAGTTCCTTCCTTGTTAAAGACAAAGAAAACTTCTCCAGATGCTTTGTTTGTCAGATTGAGGCCCTGGAGCCAAAACGCTGGAGGGTCAATGTGTTGGCACGGGACTGTGCTAGGACACCTTAAAGCTCATCCAGTGCCACCCCTGCCATGGGCAGGGACACCTTCCACTATCCCAGGCTGCTCCAGGCCCCATCCAGCCTGCCTTGGACACTGCCAGGGATCCAGGGGCAGCCACAGTTTCTCTGGGCAACCTGTGCCAGGGCCTCACCACCCACACAGGGAAGGATTTCTTCCCCACTATCCAATCTAAATGCTGTCAGTGTAAAGCCATTCCCCCTTGTCCTGCCACTCCAGGTCCTTGCCCAGAGTCCCTCTGCAGCTCTCCAGGAGCCCCTTTAGGCTCTGGAAGAACCTCTCAGGTCTGACCTCTACACTGAGCTCAGATATGGGTTAGTGCTGGCCTTGGCAGAGCTGGCTTAACAGTTGGGCTCCATGATCTTAGAGGGCTTTTCCAGCCTAAATGGTTCTGGGATTCTGTAACCGTTTCTACCCATACTTGCTCCTGGTGAGTATTCCTGCCACTCCTTCTGTGCTCAGTTTCACTGTAGTTCCAACAGTTTGTTCTTCCTTCTTCTCTGTCTCTATTTTAGAGGGGAAATCGCACAGTTGCTCAAAACTAAGCAAAGCCTTTTTAATAATAAAACCAAAATATGAACAAAATGTCAGGATAGGGAGCAGCAGTTGCAATTCCACCATGATCCATAGAGATGCCAGATGAGGGCTCCCTGCTCTTTGAGCAAGCTTGAGCCTTGAGTTGGGTCACTGCCCACCCTGGTGTTAGCAACCAGGAAATTATCCTTGGAATGGATGATTTTGGAAGCAGCTCCTTCAGCAGGAGACTTGCCCTGGTAATTAAACACCATCAGTTTCAGGAAGTTTGATGGTAGCCTGAGGGTTTATGTCCCACTTCTTTTTATATATATAAATTTATACGTATAAATATCTTAATACATATATCTTTATGTATGTAAAGAAAGTTTGTGTATAGAATTTCTTTATATTTTTCTTAATATACATATAATTTTAAATATATATAAATTTGTCCTTGAAATATAGAATTGGCTTCTTGGCATCACAGGGAAGTAGAAAGAATAAGTATAAAAAATGGAGATTCAGGGATTGGGAAACAGCTGGGTATTTGGAGAAGTGCTGCAACTGCTAATTGGGAAGAAGGGAGAACACTTTATAAAGTCTCCTGCTGTGTTTTATTTTTACATTATCTGGGATATCCTGATGCCTAAACAATCAGAGAGTGTCACAATGAGGCAGATGGAAAAAAGTTTCTTTTTTTTTTCCCCTAAAAGAAGGAAATGGTCCCAAGTAATCAGAGATGAAGAGTTCCTGGTCCTCAAGCTCTACAAATGGTAAAGAAGGGCTTAAATTCCTGAAATTAAAATACCAGGCAGCAAACACAAATAAAAAAGGAAACACTATTTTTCAGCTGAGTGTTTCCTCCCCATCAGCCTCCCGAGCCTGGCCTTCACCTCCTGGTTCCTCAGGCTGTAGATGAAGGGGTTCAGCATGGGCGTCACCATGGTGTAGAACACAGAGGCCACCTTGTCTCGCTCCCGGGAGCTCCTGGAGCTGCGCTGGGAGTACACGGACACCAGGGATCCGTAGAAGAGTGCCACAGCAGCCAGGTGGGACGTGCGGGTGGAGAAGGCTTTGCGCTTCCCCGCGGCCGCGCGCGTGCCCGGCACGGCGGCCAGGACGAAGGCGTAGGAGAGGAGGATGGCCAGGAGGGTGGCAGCCAGGCTGAAGCCTGCCGTGATGAACGTGCCCAGCTCGTTGGGCGCGGGCTCCGTGCAGGAGAGGGCGATGAGCGGCTGCCCCTCGCAGTAGAAATGGTCGATGACCTTGGGGCTGCAGAAGCTCAGCCTGAGGGCCAGGCCCGTGTGCAGGGCGGCATTGGTGACCCCGGCCAGGCAGCAGCCAGCCACCAGGAGCGCACAGATCCCTCGGGACATGGAGAGGGAGTAGAGCAGGGGGCGGCAGATGGCCACGTAGCGGTCGTAGGCCATGGCGGCCAGGAGGTAGCACTCGGTGGTGGCGAAGGCCACGTAGAAATAGAACTGCGTGAGGCACAGTGAGAAATGACCTTATCCTCATCCAGGAGATCCCGGAGCACCCTGGGAGTGATGCAGGAGGAATAGCAGACGTCAAGGAAGGACAGGCTGCTCAGGAAGAAGTACATGGGGGTGTGGAGCTGGGCAACCAGCCTGATCAACACCAGCAGCCCCACATTCCCCAGCAGGGTGATCACAGAGATCACCAGGAACACCACAAACAGGACAACCTGGACACGGCCCTGAGCGGAGAATCCCAAGAGGACAAAGTGAGCATTGGTGGTTCCATTTCCTTTGGCTGCCATCCTAATGTAGGTGCTGTGGGAAAGCCAAGATGAAGAGTCAGGGTATTCCTGTTTTCTGCACAAACATGTTAAAAATGGCTGAATTTTTATCAGCAAACACAGTCTGCAGATGCAGGAACTGCAGAATTTACTGTTTGGTTCAAAATACATTTTAAAGTAGTCGAAGTTCACTGGAGAGTTTGTTTCTGATGGTTTTAGTCTGGCTTAGCCACTGATTTGGTTTGATAAATCACTTTGCACAATGGAAGATTTATACCACCTCATGAAAAAGTTAAGGGAATGATTACTCATCAAATTCAAAGCATTAACCCCAGTAATTTATCCCGACTTTAGAAATCATTATGAATTTGAAAAACAAACTGAAAACAACATAAAACACCCAAAAAACAACCCCAAACCTCATTGGTTTAGAAGATCCAAAGGAGACAAAGCACTGGTGAGAGATCAGGACATCTTTAAAATTTTCTTTAGGAGAGTTAGAACAAATTAAAATAAACCAAATTTCTTCTCTTCCTTCCCATGAAACTGAAATTTGGGTTCAAACAGGATATTTGTATTTAAAAACCCTTTAAATATGGTGATACTCGTGTCATTCCTGTGAGAAGTGTGGAGAAAGAAAAGGGTTTTAAAAGTCTGGAGACCCCAAAAATGTTGTGGTGCCATGATTAACTGGAAGGAGTAAGATGCTGATAATACAGTTCAAATAAACAGAATATTTATAATTTGGGAAATAATCCAGGTAGTGCTGCTATGCAATGATTGACCTTCAAGGCCAGGTTGGACAGGGCTTGGAACAACCTGGCCTAGTGCAAGGTGACCCTGCCCATGGATCCATAAGGTCCCTTCCAAGCCAAGCTGTGGATTTCATGATAAATTTCTGGGTTTCACCTCAGAGACCCTGAGCTGGATGATGATTTGTTGTGATAACAGGCTCCCACCTCGAGCCCTCTCCTTGCAGCAGATCAACTCCCTGCAGCCTTATTTTGGCTAAAACTCACTTGTTTCCTTACATCTCAGGGCCCTTTTTGCTTGATCAGATTTTACCTCCCAGACCAAAATTTCCAGGGAGAAATAAAGCCAGTGTTAGTGTGGAAAACAGGAATAATTTACCTTCACACAGAGCATTAAAACTTGACAAAAAGAATCTGTTGTTTGTCACAGGAACGCTGGGGGCTTGTCACTGCCCAACCCTGGAGGAGGAAATTTCCATTGGGACTTTGGAAGCAGCCCCTTAAAGAGGAGACCTGCACTGGTAAATAAACACCATTAGTTAAAACAACTCAATTAGTTTCAGGAAGTTAAATGGCTTAAGGATTTATTTACCACTATACATATACAATTAAATATATTAACATTTTACTATATAAATAAAGTTAATATAGAGGTTTAATTTATATATGCAGTTAGAGATATAATTACTTAATACATATAAATATTTTCCTCATAGATATAATTTTATTTTATATATTTTATGTAATTACATACATTTAAATGTATCTCTTGGAATATATAAATAATTTCCTGGGATCACAGGAAATTAGAAAGAACTAGTGTAAGAAATGGAGATTCAGGAATTGAGAGACAACCCAGGGTTTAGAGAAGTCTTGCAACTGCCCATCAGGATGAAGGGAAAACTCTGCAGGAACTTTCCTGCTGCAATTTATTTTTACATTTTCTGGTGATAATGATGAGCTGAATTTAAGACCTTTAGGTTCAGATTGACCCTTCCATCAATTTGCCTAGAGTCTGCCTCCTAATTCTGCTGATACAAGGAACATTCATCCAAAATTTGAGTTAGGAATGAAGGTTCAGATGTACTGGAATACGTGTTTTGCAATCAGGAGGAACCTTTGCAATTTTCTGGAGTTATTTGTTATTATATCCTTCTGCAAACATTTGGGAAGAACAATTTTCCCCACCCAGCAAAAAATTGTCTCAAAACTTAAAATTTCACCCTCTCTGATTGTTAACATACTCACAGGTCCTTGAGCTGAAGTCCACAAGCTCCATCGGTCTGGCGAAAACCAGGAAGTTTTCTGTTTCCATCCTCTAACGTGGCTGGAATATTTAAGTTTTACCCCATCCCCACGCAACCAATTACCACAGGGTCTCTAAGGCACTTGTACACACAATGAGCCTTCTCCAGAGGCCCTGGGATCCATCCCAACTTTTCTCCCTGGAATTTTAGGGATGGGATGCCCGCAGCACATCAGAATTGATGCCTGCAGAGCCTGGGCTGCAGTGGCGGTGCCTGGCTTCCTCTAAAATCGTTGGTTGTCCGCGCTAGCAAGAGAGAGAAAAAGGGAGGAGACCTGTGTGGAACCTTATTACATAATACAACTTACACATTAAAAATTTTACGAAAGCAAAAAAAATGGTGCACCACTACACTGGGCGATGCTATTTGTGAACACAACACTGCCAAGAGGAAACATCAAAAAAAAAGGATTTTGGCTTGAATTTGAAAGATTTTTTAATTATTCTCTAATTCATATTATTCTTCTCACCCTCCCAAAGAAGCTTTTCCTTCCCTGTTCCTCCAGGTCTCAGTCAGAGGTTGACTCTCATTGCAGGAAGTCACAGGAGTGGCTGTCAATGCTTTTCTCCAGCTGCTGGTGATGTCCTTGCACTCAGAACACTCATCGATGGCTCATCTCTACCTTGGTGGCCACCACAACCTCCACAGCTGCTCTCCTGTCCCCGTGTCTGGGACAATTATTCCCCATGGGCAGCGCTCAGCATTTTTCCCTTTTCCAAGCTTACCTGGTTCCCATCTGCCCATTTTTGATCAGGAAACCTCATTTTCAAAAGCCATTTTGCAATGTGTGCTTCAAAGTGGGTTCAGGAGACTCACAGGGAGTAAGCTGTACCAGCCAGAGAATCCTGGGATGGCTGGGGCTGGAAGGGAGCTTAAAGTCATCTCATTCCAATGCCCTGCTATGGGCGGGGACACAGGATGACCCCTGAGGAATGTGTGTCCACCGGAGCAAATATCAATGCTGGATGTCCCATCTCCTTCCCACATGGCGGCTCCAGCTCCTCCCATGCATGGTCAGGTGCTGTTCCCACAGAAGCTGGACACAGTTCACCCTCATTGCCCTGATTCCCATTTGCACAACAACCCAAAACATTTTGGTTTTAAGAGCAGCAGCTCCAGCACAAAGCCACAACATGCACAGTGACAGTGTCACAGCCAGAGACTCAGGGTTTAATTCACTAAGGGCTCACACTCCTGTTTAAAGGTCAGGTGATGGCCAAGGCAAGACCAGCTGGACAAAGAAATTAAAAACCATTAAATGCTTTCTCAAAATATTATTAAAATATTTAATATTTTTCAAATATTTTTTGTATTACCAAACAATGGCTGTAAGGCCCCACAACAAAGAGAGGTGCTCTGGGGCTTATGTTTAAATGCCTTAATGTTTTAATCAATGAAAAATTATGGAGGCTTTATGTTTTAAATAAAACATTAAAAATAATCTTTAGTCCTATTTAAAAAAAAAAAAGTACAATCTTGTCTGCACCTAAATTAAACAATGTCCTGAGGGCAGCAGGGAGGAGTAGAAGGGTGGGAGAACAGCAGGCGTTACACAAAGAGGTCCCAGTTCACGGTCCTGATCACAGAGCCATAGAAATGGTTAGGTTGGAAAAATCCTCTGGGATCAAGTCCACCATTCCCACAGCAGTGCCAAGGTCACCACTAACCCATATCCCCAAGTGCCACATCCACACACCTTTTAAATCCCTCCAGGGATGGGGATTCCACCACTGCCCTGGCAACCTATTCCAGGGCTGGACAGCCCTTCCCATGAAGGAATTTTCCCTTTCCAACCGAAACCTCCCCTGGTGCAACTTGAGAACAATGTCTCCACATCTGTGGACATGTGAGTTGAGGCCCTTTGGGGCTTGCCATGGGGGCTCAGCACAGCTGAGGAAAGATGAACAGGAGCATAAACAGCTCAGGGAGATTTAGCCAGACAGGCAGACTAAATAATAACCAGGGAATTTTAGGCAAGATTTGGGAAAAAAGGATTCAGCTGAGTGACCCTGAGTGCCTGTGAGTTTTGTATCATCAATAAATCAGCAAACTACCTTGACTCTGGCTTGATTTAATCCAGCTGAGCAGCTTCTCCTCCATCCCAAGTTGTTCTGAGTCTCCAGGAGAGCCTCATCACTCTGGATTTCACCATGGACCTGGCACAGGGTGAGATAATGCACTGATTGGAGGGTTTGGGTTTTTTTCATATATATCCAATGCTTTAACACCAAATGTGTCACAGAATTCTGGAATGGTTTGGGTTGGAAGGGACCTCAAAGCTCATTCAGTTCCAACCTCCTGCTGTGGGCAGGGACACCTTCCAATAGACCAGGCTGCTCCAGGCCTCATCCAAACACCAAAACTGGAGTGAAATTGTTATTTTCAGCTGATATTGAATTGGCCAGCACATCATCTAAATCAAAGTGCAGAAGGCCCCAAAAATGTCTCTCTTCCTATTTCACAAAAATCCCAGCATATCACCCACATCTCCATTGTATCCGGCCACAACGTTAAGATGTGCCGGATGTCCAAGCTAATTTTATTTTCCTGAGTCTCCTCCAAGCCTCCTTCACCTCCTGGTTCCTCAGGCTGTAGATGAAGGGGTTCAGCATGGGGGTTACCACAGTGTAGAGCACAGCAGCCCATTTATCTCCTCCCCTGGAGGTGTCTGACCTGGGGATTAAGTACATGAAAATCAATGCCCCATAGAAGGTGCTGACGGCAGTGAGGTGGGAGGCACAGGTGGAGAAGGCTTTGCGCTTGCCCTCAGCTGAGCTGATGCTCAGGATGCTGGAGATGATGGCCACATAGGACACCAGGACCACCAGCATGCTGGGAACACCCAGCAAAGATGAAGAAGTCCTCAGGATGACGAGGTTGAGGGTGGTGTCAGAGGTGGAGAGCGAGATCAGCATGGAGATGTCACAGAAGAACAGGTCGATGGTGCTGGAGCTGCAGAAGAACAAGCTGGACATGCCAATGGTTTGTCCCACGCTGTTGGTCAGCCCCAGGAGGTAGGAGCCGGTCACCAGCCGGGAGCAGCACTCTGGGGACACGACCAGGGGGTAGAGCAGGGGGTGGCAAATGGCCACATAGCAGTCATAGGCCATTGCAGCCAGTAGGAAACACTCAGTGGCCAGAAACAGCCCAAAAGTGAAGGTCTGAGCCATGCACCCAGCATAGGTGATCCCCCTCGTCCCCAGCAAAACCCCAGCCAACATCCTGGGGGTGATGATGGTGGCAGTGCAGAGGTTCACAAAAGCCAGGTTGCCCAGGAAATAATACATGGGGGAATGGAGCAGGGCACTGGCTCTGATCAAGGTGATCATCCCCAAGTTGCCCAGGATGGTGACAAGGTAGGTGAGCAGGAACAGCAGGAAGAGGGTGACCTGAATTGCCAGGTCCTCGGTGAATCCTGCCAAGCTGAACTCATTTGCTTGGGTGCAATTGCTTCCTGGCATTCCTTCAAAGTGTGTTGTCTGTGTGAACTCCTTGCTAGAGGTTTCTTCCAGCTGGAAAACCCTCTTTGCAGTGGGATCTGTTTGGAGACAATCCTACAAGATCTAAACCAAGAGTTTAGGTACAGATTGATTAGACAGTGCTGGGTGGAAATCATGGCACAGGTAGGGAGAAGCTTACACAACCCTGAGGAGCTTTACCTTGGTGCTGCCTTCAATCCCCTGTGTGTCTTCAGTCTGGGACTTTGAAATCATCCAGCACAACCTAAAACACAGAGAAACCCAATAAAAGCTGTAGAAGACAGCACGGAATTGATTATTCTTCCTTGTGTTGGCAGCTGCCAACCACTTACTTTGTCTGTCTTCTCCATAGAATCCTGTAAGGGTTTGGATTGGATAGGATCTTGAAGACCATCCCACTGCACCCCCTGCCATGGGCAGGAACACCTTCCACTAGACCAGATTGTTCCAAGCCCTGTCCAGTGTGGTCTTGAACACTTCCAGAGAAGGGGCACCCAAAACTTCCTGTCTATGAAGTCTCCCCTCCCCACTGTTGCACTGGTTTGGCTCTAAAAGATTTTCCCAGCTCTTTATTCTGTTCCTGCAGTCTTAAACAAAAACATGCAACACCCAAAGCTCAGCAATGTCCTCCTGAAAATATTTATTTTTGGGGGAAAAAATTAAAAATCACCTTTTGGATGTGATATTGCCTTATATCAGCAATAGCAAGATCCATAAGTATTCCTTACAGAAAAGCTGCCAGTCCTCATCCAGGAGCCCTTTGTGGTCAGTGAGAAGTACCCAGAGCGAGTGTTCCAACGGGGTGTCCTCACCACACACCTGCAGCAGATCACCTGGATTTGGTGCTAAGCCCAGAGTACAATAAGGAACTGGAGCCCAGGAGCCTCCAGGTAGGAGCTGAGATGAAGACTGAAGCGGTTTCTTCTTTGCAAGGAAAAATGAGAGGGGATGGGTGGCTCAGCATGTGCTGTCCTTACTCGTGGTTCTCCAGGATGATCCTCCTCTACATCTCTGCAGTCTCCCTGCTTCCCTCCTGATGCTCTTCAGGGTGGATATTAAGGTGCTCTGCAGGTGAATTTAAAAATATATCATTGTCAGCAAAGACATTTTTCCATGTAATTTGGGGATTTAGAGGCTCTTGCAGCCCCAGGAGAGTGACAAAGCCAAAGCAGGTTGTTATTGCTTCTCTGAGCTTCTGAGTTTGGAAGTGATTACACAGAGGAGATTATCTCACCTCATGTAAGCCACAGGGCTTTGGGGACTCCCCAGAGCAACCACAGTGCAAAACTCCACTTGTCGTGTAAAATTTTTTAGCATTCCAGAGATTTTCAGCTCTACAAATGCCGTGTTTGGTGTTATAACACCAGTGAGCTGAGGGGAATCTCACTGGTGGGGCACAGTCCCATGGAAGCTGGTATCCATCAGCAGTTTCAGTCACCAGAGATGATTTTCTATTCATTCTAAATTCCTTAGACCCAAACCACTGCTCACCTGTCCCATCCCTGGAAGTGTTCAAGGTCAGATTGGAAGGATCTGGTCTACTGGAAGGTGCCCATGGCAGGGGGATGGAACAAGATGAGCTTTAATGTCCTTTCCAACCTAAACTATTCCAGGATTCTATGAAGTTTGGCTGCAAGAATCCAGGAGAACCACAGAATATGCTGAGTTGGAAGGGATCCACAAGGATCATCAAGTCCAGCTCTCAGCCCTGCACAAACCCATCCCCAAAAGCCACACCATGTACCCAAGAGCATTGTTTAAATGT